AGAGAAAGGTATATAGATGGTGGTATGTTCTCATACATCACAAGTAAATACAGAAAGGTATAGGGATGGTGGTATGTTCTCATACATCACAAGTAAATAGAGAAAGGTATATGGATGGTGGTATGTTCTCATACATCACAAGTAAATAGACAAAGGTATATGGATGGTGATATGTTTTCGTAAACGAAAAGGAAATAGCTGTAAACATGCTTGGAGGCGGCTTGAATGGGTAAGGAAGAAAAACTTTAATATAAGTTTAACATAACAGCAAATGTACAACGTTTCGACAAGGTTTTGTCATCATCAATTTTTTTATGACCACTAAAGTCCATAATACATTATAAATGTGTAATTAACATCTGACATACAATTTCAGGTTAATTACCATATGTGATCAAAAGTAAAGGAGAAACAAGTCCTTTATTCAATACCTTTTATATCTGATGGTTAGGTTAAGTAAGCATTCAAAATTAAATCTTGGTCAGAAATTAATAGTTAAATTTACATTTATCCAATAAAATTAATTGTTGGAATAAAGTATAATTTTTTTTTTCTCTGAATAGTTTATCTAAAGATAAGAAACATGACAGCCAATTACAGAGAACATCTACAAGAATGATGACCTTCTATTAAAGTTGATACCAAGAAACTCTGAAGTAGAACACAGATTATCTTTGGAAGGACCATAGAGTTAAAAGCAGTAAAACTTAAAGCGTCAAGAACTTCTGACTCAGTTTTTTTACCCATTAAAACATTTTTAAAAATCAATAGGCACAATGAGTACTAACAAGTTGTTCTATGATCAAATATGCTTACTTCTTATCAATTCAGCCTAAACCTCAAACAACTGCTTAATTCTTAGTGCTTCTAACACCTTGAAGGCTTAATCTCTAGACTGGCCGAGCATATGTAAGTCAGTTTAGTTTACTTAATTTTCACAAATCAGCTATGAAATATGGACATAGTTATGATCAGAAGATCTAAAGAAGATATAGTAACTTTAATGACGAGCTCTAAATACGAACATGGTTATGATCAGAAGATCTAAAGAAGATATAGTAACTTTAAAGATGAATTCTAAATATGGACATGGTTATGATCAGAAGATCTACAGAAGATATAGTAACTTTAATGACGAGCTCTAAATATGGACATGTTATGATCAGAAGATCTAAAGAAGATATAGTAACTTTAATGACAAGCTCTAAACATGGACATGGTTATGATCAGAAGATCTAACGAAGATATAGTAACTTTAAAGACGAGTTCTAAATATGGACATGGTTGTGATCAGAAGATCTACAGAAGATATAGTAACTTTAATGACAAGCTCTAAACATGGACATGGTTATGATCTACAGAAGATATAGTAACTTTAACGATTAGCTCTAAATATGAACATGGTTATGATCAGAAGATCTAAAGAAGATATAGTAACTTTAAAGACGAGTTCTAAATATGGACATGGTTATGATCAGAAGATCTATAGAAGATATAGTAACTTTAATGACGAGCTCTAAATATGGACATGGTTATGATCAGAAGATCTAAAGAAGATATTAGTAACTTTAATGATTAGCTCTAAATATGAACATGGTTATGATCAGAAGATCTAAAGAAGATATAGTAACTTTAATGACTGAGCTCTAAATATGGACATGGTTATGATCAGAAGATCTACAGAAGATACAGTAACTTTAATGACGAGCTCTAAATATGGACATGGTTATGATCAGAAGATCTACAGAAGATTTTAGTAACTTTAATGACGAGCTCTAAATATGGACATGGTTATGACCAAAGTTCTGTGTAAGACAGGCCTTTACAGCAAAATGTGTGACTGAGATTTCTAATATTGACATTATTATGACCATAAATTATAAGACAGACCTTTACAGCAAGTTTCATGACTGAGATCTGTAATACGGACGTGGTTATGACCAGAAGTTCTGTATAAGACTGGCCTTCACAGCAATTTTCATGACTGAGATCTGTAATACGGACGTGGTTATGACCAAAAGTTCTGTATAAGACTGGCCTTTACAGCAAGTTTCATGACTGAGATCTGTAATACGGACATGGTTATGACCAGAAGTTCTGTATAAGACTTGCCTTCACAGCAAGTTTCATGACTGAGATCTGTAATACAGACATGATTATGACCAGAAGTTCTGTATAAGACTGGCCTTCGCAGCAAGTTTCATGACTGACTGGTTTATAAAGTACTTTTTAGAAACACAAACAAGTCTTCCTTACCAGATGGTAGGTGCTTCAGATGGTTGTTGGAAGCATCAAATGTTACAAGAGCTGTCAACTTTCCAATTCCTGCAGGAAGTTCCCTAATTTTGTTCTCCCTCAAACTGAGCATTGACAGGTTCTGGAAAAATAAGACATATACAGTGACAATACCCTAAAATATGATTACTTTGTGGCAGTTGTTTCTATAATACTCTAAACTCATAAAAACAAACAAACTTGAAATAAAATCTCATATTCTCACACCAGTTTCAACATCTATTTTTTTTTACTGAATATCAAATGTTTATATAAAAAAAAAAGTTCAATATCTCCTAACTATTAACTATGTATATATATATATATATATATATGATGTTTAATTCAAATATTAAAAACACTGTTCTTTACCTTATTTATTCCGTAACAAACATTACTTTTAGTAACTGTTATAGCATTACCACTGTTTTCTAAACATATTTTATGTCTTATGAAATATAAAATGTCAGCTCACTTTAAGAAACGCAAATCTAAGAAGACATTACGGCACACGTTCAGATGTTAAAATGTAGTAAAACCTTGATATCTAAACAAAAAAGTATTATAAATACGTAAATAACTATAAACAAGTTAAACCTAACGGTTACTTTGAAATCAAAACTAAAACTTAAATACTTTTACATTTTTATATTACATAATACTAATTGGTGTACAGTACATTTAATTAAGAATGAAAGAAAGAACCATGAACTCCGGCAAATCTTACTTGAACAACATTTCGGTTTTATGCCTTCATCACTATTTCTGTAATGAGCTCTAACTCTCACATCAAAACTCGGTAGTCTAACAGTTAAACCATGCACAAGAGCATATCATACATGTGATTGTTTCTATTATATCAGTATAACATAAACACCATTGTTATGTAAAAGTTTAATAACAATAAACAGAGTAAATTATATTTATTATCTACAAGTAATTTTTGTTAAGTTTAAGAGAGGGACCATTTTATTATCTACGAGTAATTTTGTTAAGTTTAAGAGAGGGACCATTTTATTATCTACGAGTAATTTTGTTAAGTTTAAGTGATGGACCATTTTATTATCTACGAGTAATTTTGTTAAGTTTAAGAGAGGGACCATTTTATTATCTATGAGTAAGTTTGTTAAGTTTAAGAGAGGGACCATTCATAATATTTGTTCATTGTTGGTTTAAATTTTTTTCGATAATAGAATAATTCTTTAATTCTTCGATTTAAGAAATCATCGGAACTTGTGAGACTCTTTTAATGTTATTGGTATCCAAGTTCCGTGTGCTACGATTCAATATATTGTGTTCAGTTACTGTACTTTTTATCTATCTTTACATCCCAGATGTGTTCACCAATAGCTTCATGCTAAGGTTTCCTACTTTTTTCAATGTAGGTGTGCTATATTCTACATATTCTAGTTGGTTAATGACATTCTCCGTTAAACAGTGTCCTATCGTATTTGAGGAGTTAATAAAACAATGTCTCTTCTGATATTACAGCAGGTCTAGTAAGAGATTGTTTTAATGTCATGCCCGGTTTCTGTAGATTTCTAATGGAGAGACCAGACGTTTTTCAGCTCTACATAGCTGCTTAGTCAGGTAATTTCTGACTACAGTGTCACTCCTGTAGCTGGAGAATCCTTCTACACTATAACACAACATAATGTTTAGGGACAACGAAACCTATTGGTCTTTCTCAGTTGTTCCATCCTCTAAACTAAACTAAAACTATTAATAAATTTTTTTTTAAATCTTACACTGCCAGTACTTATCATTCATATAGTTATCAAGTTTTCTATTAAACTCACTTAAATATACTGCCTCCACAACATCCAAAGGCAACCTATTCTAAAGTCCAACCACCCTGTTAGAAAAATAAAACTGTCTTAGCTGAAGACGACTCCAACCCTGCCAAAATATATATTTGCATCCTACTAATCCTACTATTCTCACTGTTAATTCCTTGTACAATCTTAAACATCTCAATCAGATCCCCTCTAACTCTTCTTTTTTCAAGAGAAAACAATTTCAGAGATTTCAACCTCTCCTCATATAACAACACCCTCCATCCAAGGCACCATTCTAGTAACCATTTTCTGAATCCTTTTCAACAATTCAATGTCCTTCCTAAGGTAAGGAGCCCAAGACTGAACACAATACTCCAAATGCAGCCTAATCAGTAATCTATACAATGAAATTATA